TGCCCCCCGGCCCGGTGGGGCCTGGCTTCAGCGAGGCCTGTTACTGCGGTGTGACCTGGTGGCAGGAAGGGACCCGCGGTTCAGAAGGGGGTTTGCCAACTTGGGGCTGCGAGCTGCCATCCCGGTGGATTCTTCCTTTCCTCCTTATTCCGGAGGAAAACAGTTGGGTTTTCTTAATTTTGACTTTTTCAGTGAAGTGCCAAGGAGGGAGCAGAAAAGCTCCTCTGTAAAGGCTGGGGTTTTTCCCTAAAGCTAGACAAAAGCTTTCTCTCAGAGAGATGCGGTGACTCCGAGCATGAGTGTCTCGGCCTGAGCACATGGGCCAACAGACCCTGCTGGTGTAGTGCTGGTCTCGTTCGGACAGGACTTGGAGGAAATATATACCCCTGCGTGGGGGCTGCAGTAGGAACAGCAGGTTTTTCAGCCCTGCTTTACTGAAGTGTTGCTGTGCATCTTGATGTAAGCAGACTGAAAGCCTCCGGGTTGCTTTGGGATGTGGTAGTGGCCTCTACCCAGCTCTGTACCCAGAGGCAAGGACACGTGCTCGGTTACGCTGACTTCTCTCCAAGGGGAAGGCTGAGAACAAAGAGGAGGTAGAAACAATAAGTTGGGCCGAGGGAGGCACACTGAGGCGCGGTGGGTGCAAAAGGGGGTGGTGGAGCCTGGGCTGAGGGGACAGTGGTGATGGAGAAACCTAAAGCAAGGCTTTGGGTTGCCCTTGCGCTAGGAAGGGACCAAGATGCCTGCCCCCTTTCACCTTCTCTCTTCCCTGCAGAGTTTGGCAAGGAGAAGAGCGTGCTGCTGAACAACCTTACTGCGGATGAAGTGGGCAGGGCCCTGGAGAACATCGTGAAGAGCAAGGTGTGAAGGCAGACGGTAAACATGTGCAGGCTGAAGACCCGACTGACTGTCTTTAATGTAAAACGTATCTTTAATTTATCAGTTGCATAAATGCGGTGTGCTTACCCCGGACTTCACGTGTTGGGTGTCAAGCCCAAAGGAACCGCTGGAGGGAGCGGCCGATGCAGCTGGGTTTTTACACATCAAGAGCTCGTCTGCCTGTATTGCAGCTCAGCTCTGTGCCCCCATCAAGCTCTGGGGGGGCACGGGGCAGCCTCCTCATAGCTACTTGGTGGCAACAAGGACGGAAACAGCCGGATCTTGCCAAGGACCAGCGTTCCCGTGTGGCCAGCGCTGGTGCTTACAGCGGGCGTTAGACCCCTGACAGCCCAGCAGGGCACAGGCTGAACAAACGGTTTACTCCCCCTCAGAGCGCAGCGGGAAGGAAGGGAGGTGGTGTGGGCTAGGGGAAGGCAGACAACGTGGCATGGCAGGGAGCGCAGGCAGAGGCTCCCAGGGGCTGCCCCACCATGTCCAGCAGCGCTCGTGCCCGCTCTTGGAGTTCTGGGGTGCTCTGGTGCTGCTCAAGGGCCCAGTGCCCGCCTTGCCTGACGAAGTCGGCAGCAGCCTGTGCGAGAGGAGAGGGGTGAGAGCTGGCTGGCTGCCACCAGAGTAGCTGCTGCAAACGTGACCACAGAGCCACTGTGGTACAGCCTAGGAACCAGGGTGAAGGAATGCTCCAGAGCCCTACCAGCCACTCATGTCCCAAGCCAGGTAAACCCAGCCATGCTGATGGCTGGCCAGGAGTGCACAGAGCTTGAAGTAAGCACAACTGAATCAAAAGAAGCTCCCCATAAAAACCTTGAAAGGTACAACCAACCTGCCCAAAAACCGGTCATTGTCCATGAAAAGGAACGCCCCAGAGACAGAAGAAGGGCTTCCACCCTTTGTGTGATACAAGTGCCCCCCCTCAGGCAGGTGTCTGGGTGCTGGGGACCAGGGGGCTAGCATAGCAATGACTGAAGGCAGTGTTACTTGAATGCTACCTATCCCTGGCGTTACCATCCTGTGCTTGATTCCAGGGCGGGCGCCCCCTGATCTTACCTCCGGCCAGTGCAGGAAGAGGAGGTGCAGCAGCTCGAGGCACTGCCCTGCC